GGGTTTCCCTTGAATGGTGCTGCCGGTGCCCTGAACGATCCACCTCCCCCGTGGTTCCCCTTCTTATTGGGACCTTGGGGGCCATGGCTTTCCCACTTCCTTTTCTTGGCCTCTTCGGCATCTCTCTTCTTCCTCTCCTCCCATTGCTTTTCTCCCTTCAACCCTTGGGCAACCACTTGGCTGAAAGTCATATTGGGCAATTGAGTTGCCCTGTCCCGTATCTCCAAGTCCAAGGCCTCCCAAAAATGATTCACCATTCGGTTTTCATCACAAGCATACTCCGATATGTGATCAGCAAGGTCTCTGAACTTGTTCTCAAGTTCTTTCACCGTCATGTTACCGCCTTGGGTTAGGAGAGTGTATTCCCTCACCTTGGCGTTTACTTCGAAGTCAGAGTAGTACTGGGCAAAGAATTCTTGTCGAAAATCCTCCCATGTAACAGTTCCGCCATACTTACCCTTGGTTCCATCCCACCATTTGGATGCCAACCCTTCGAGTAACCTTACCGCGATTCTCAGTTTAAAATCGGGGGTGAGCTGCATGTCAAGGGCTGCCTCGTTCAGCCTCTTGATCCACTGGGCGGCAACCGAGATGTCTCCCGTCCCGTCGAACGGTTTGCACCCTAAGTCCCTCGCCTCCTTGATGTATTTGGAGATCCTTATGACTGGACCTCCATCGCCCCGACTCCCATGCGCTTCCACATGGGTTCTCGAATCACAAAAGTTCCTCCCTCTTGGAGCCCCGCCCGAAGGTTGCCCTGCACGGTGCCTTCGGCGTGCCCTCCTTTCTTCGCGCTCCCGATGATACTGTTGGAGCAGCGCTTCGATTCTGGCCAAGGAGCCACTTTCCTCCTCATCACTCACATCGTCATCATTCTCTTCGTAAGGGGTCTCAACTGGCTCAGTCCCCGGCTGGTAAGTTGAGTCCTCATAGGACCAATAGGTCTCACTCTCGGTATCAACGTGGCCATCGCTCACGGTTTGACGTTGGCCTCCACGGCCCCTTCCTCTTGATCCCCTAGAGGACCCCCGGCTACCGCGCTCGGACCCACCCGGTGCACGGCCCAACGGGTTCCTCCTAGTGATCCTTCCAATTGGTTCCATTTCTGAAAGAAATTAGAATGAGTCGTTAGACTCGTATCGAGTGTCAAATGATGGACGGGTACTTAAAGACATCCTTCGGCTCAAATCACCGCCATACCAATTGTTAAGTGTACCATCTTAACAATTAGAGGCATTGCAACTCAAGTACCAAAAGTTCTATAAGTACAAAACTTATGCTCATGGTTTTTTCAAATTCATTTTCAAAAAGAAATTTTGAAGCTTCATTATGATGTTTACGGAACCTGGCTCTGATACCATTTAAATTGCCATGCCCCGGACCTACCCGGACATGTCAACAACCCGCCGTACAGTACGAATAATCAACCGCAGTCCGACTCATCCATACTATACAAGGCGTCTTGAATACCATTCACACATAGGACATCCATAAACAAACATAATGTAAAACATTTATTAAAGCAGCGGAAACAATTGATACAAGTGTTCAAGCCACACTTGGCATAATTAGGCATGCAAGCCCCCAAAGTAATTATTCAGAAAATATTATCCATGAGCATTATTCATATTGTTTTTCAAAACAAGAACGTGAGAAGCACGAACCAAGTCTTCTCCTCAGAAACTTCCCGAAGCAGCGGCTGGTGGTAGCAACCTTCAAGTTCTACCTGAAACTGTGAGGTGGCCTCCCCCGTGAAGGGGAGGTCACTACTTGGAAGCATTTGACAAGTACAATGACAACTATACTAAGTATAATCAAAGTTTAAATCTCTGAGGCCCTCAACTAGGGCATTATTACATTATAGTTAATCCGTTCATTTAATATCAATTCATCATTATTTATCACGGTCTAGAGCCCAGCTCATAATCACCGTTATCTACTACGGTCTAGAGCCCAGCTCATAATCACCGTCATCTACTACGGTCTAGAGCCCAGCTCATAATCACCGTCATCTACTACGGTCTAGAGCCCAGCTCATAATCACCGTCATCTACTACGGTCTAGAGCCCAGCTCATAATCACCGTCATCTACTACGGTCTAGAGCCCAGCTCATAATCACCGTCATCTACTACGGTCTAGAGCCCAGCTCATAATCACCGTCATCTACTACGGTCTAGAGCCCAGCTCATAATCACCGTCATCTACATCGGTCTTGAGCCCGGCTCATAATCACCGATTCCTTATAATTCAAATTCTTAGGATCTAATTCATCCATTTCTCAACTAACATTTCCAACTATTATTTCAATGCTAGTTATTTATTTATTTCAATATAATTCCTTCTTCTTGCATAATTGGCCTTAATATCAAGTATCACTTTCATACCTTCATGGTTTCTCCTCATGGCATCAAAGTATACTATCCCAAATGATATTCATGGTTGGTACAACCATCATACACACATATTCATAACATCTAAACACACACAATTTATTCATAAATTTGTGTATCATGCATACTATACTTTTAATCAATAGTAGTTCTATTTATGCATTATTAACCATCAAAAATTCATACACATCACATTTATATTCACTTAGGAAATCCCATGAAATTAACCCAAAGATTATAAGTATCATAGTCGGTCATCCTCACCTTAATTAAGCTTAAGCGCGTTCTACGTTTCTCGATTGGACTTTGACCAACTCCGGCGAACTTTGACCAACTCCGGCGAACTTTGACCAACTCCGACGAAACTCCGGAGAAGCTCAAAAATACTTTAAATCAAGTTCCTAACAAGGTTTTATCATCACAAAACCCATATCAACACAAATAACCTATAAAAGGTTATTTTCCGGCAAACCGGTCGATTTGGCTTCTAAGTCCGTTTTTGGACTTAGAATCACTTTCCAACCCATTATTCCACACTTAAATCATGTAGAACAATACTAAAGGCCTTTCATATGATATATATCTTATATGCTAGAAGAAAAACAAACGAAAAGTTATGATAAGGTCATTACCTTAATTTTCACACTTTTTCCTAGCTTTTTCCTTCTTAAACTTCCTTCTTGAACTCCCTTGAGCTTGAGTTCGGATTTGGGCTATGGAGATGAGAAGTTTCAGAGCTTCTCCTTGCTATCCTAGGGTGCTGAATGGTGTGGGTGGAGATGGTGAGGTGAGAGGGGTGGTTTTTGTCTCATTTAGACAAATGAGTGAAGGGAGGGGGTCTACAACATGTCAAAGGTGTCTCCCCCATCCTCTCAATAGTTGTTCAGCCAATTTGACACTCATCCAGCCCTCAAGGGTTGACAATTTCGTGGGGTGGCCCCCACCCAAGTGGGAGGTCATCCTAATTTGTCCCAAAGTGTGTAATTTGTCCCGAAAGTTGTATTTTCCGGACTGTTTTTAAGTATATTTTATTTTATCGAGTCAAATAAAATATAACACTTGTTCCCAATTCTTAATGGACCTTAGAATCAATATGCATCCCTCAACTTTAATTTAGAAGTCTCCGAGATCCCTTTTCGGGCTGTTATCTGATAGATTTCCGATACTGATAATTTGGCCCCGTTTGACCAACCGGTCAACCCTATGCCATTGTCATGGCTCAACCAGGATATCCACCACCATATACATATTATCTAGTCCAAGATCAATATAATATGTGGCCCCGATAATATCGGGCGGTCCCCACTCCCGATGTGGGCCCCACGTGCAATTTACTATTCACGCGAAAAAATATTATACAAATTCACAACTTCGTAAATTCACTAAAAACTTCATAAGGTTCAATAAATTATTCGCTTAAAGGTAAATACATTTGGGGACGGTGTTACAGTACCTTTCCGGCCGACGGGGGTCCCTTGGCCGACGAGGGCACCACTTAGTGTCTTGTGCTTTATGTTCTTCTGAGTATGTGGGTCCTGGGGCTCAGACCCATATACTCCATCAACAATTATTATAAAAGTATAATAAATAATTTAGTATACTTTTAACATCTACGAAGTATATGTTAAAATGTGGAGTACTATTAAAAAAAGAATTAATGTGGAGTAAATAAACTTTATTTGAGTTTGAAATTGGTACCTTGTAAGATCATTTGTAGTGGTAGAGAGTCTAAAATGTTAAATATGGACTCCGTCCATATGAAAACAATGTTTAGACTAATACTTTTTGGTATCCCAGCACCCGTCAATAAAATACGCTGAACACATTTTTTACATATCAATTTAGTAAAACATCAATTAAATTATTATAAGTAATGTTTTCCATTTAATTTTTTCCCTATATAATTATGAAATAAAAATTACACATTTCAATGTAAAAAAATAAATTTCATTAAAAAAATTGTTTTTATTTTTTTGAGTTTTACTAAAAAATAAAATGATATCATGCAATAATAAGTTCTTTATGGAGGCTCTAGGGATTAAAAATTTGTGTTTCGTATTTACTTGGGTTCAAGAAAACTCCAACAATTCATTTTTTAACACTTAAAGGTACAAATATACGCCTATAGTATATGTGTGAGAACAAATATATTTCTGTTCTATTTTTCGGAACAAATATACCTTTGAAATATATGTTTAAGTTCATATATACCCCCGAACTTTTAAAAAGGTGCAAAAATATTCATCATGTTCTTATAAAGGAGCAAATTTATCCTTATTGACTTTAAATTGATAAAATAAATTTCAAAAAACACTTAAAATAAATTTTTAATTTATTTCTGGTGTTGTTTGAAATTCATTTTATCTATTTAAAGTCAATAAGAGTAAATTTGCCCCTTTAAAGTCAAAAAATTTTATAAAAAAATTCCACCGGAAACCGTCCCTAATGAGACCGGACAGAGACTCCTATATAAGAAGTGATTTGCACTTTTAAGTTAGTTCTAGAGCTTATTTGAGTATTTTCCGATTAAGTTTCCTCTTATAGAACTAAATAGGTGATGCCAGTAGAATAAACGTGAGGCAGTTTCCCTTTTCGTAAAAGAGCTGATTTGATCCTATCCGAAGCAAATTTCTTTTGAACCAAGTATTCCTTCACACTTACTTTACTAACCCTACCTAAGAAAGTGCTATTTCTACGTTCTCTCCTTGAACACCGGTTGTATGTCGTTGAGACTCAAATGAAAGTGCAGTTTTGCTGATTTGAACGCAATGGGTTCCGGTGGCTGCGAGGACGTAGGAGCTCCGACGGCTATGGCTTTGGGTTACTACGATGGCGTACCGGCTACCACTTCTTCGTGGTTTGATGGCTATGGAGACGCATCACCTCCGAGAGTTATGGGGTTGGATGCGCGTATCACTCCGAGTATGGAAAATAATTGTTCTAATTCTACTGTGTATGATCATCATTATAACAGTAGGAGTTCCAGCATGGCTACATCCAGCTCAACCCCCATTGATTCCTCTAATATTGGTTTTCGGGTTTGCATCTCCCTCCCAATGCCTTTGCTTTTTAGGGTTTAATATAAAATTCCAGTTTTCTTGCTGAACGTGTATCCTTTCTTTTGCAGTTGCTAAAGAAGCACGGTTGGAAAGAAGGAACCGGGCTGGGGATTGCAGGACAGGTGATTATTATTGTTGTTGTTCATTAATTTCATGCTGATCGTTACCTTCGTACACACATTGACATGCCAACTTGGGGATACTGTTTTGCTTCGCACTCATGGTTCAAATTATAACATTGCAGTTGTTTTTCTCAAATATTAAATAAGCTGTTCTTTCCATTCACTGTTTCTTGGATTCTTGGCCTCATATGTAACAGTATTCCAAAGCTTTATCAAAATATAAATAAACAGAAGCAATTTGTTTTATCCTCAAAGATTTCCATGCATTTATGGGGTGAAGGGGAAATCATGGAGGCCTCCTTTTTAACTGTTGCACACTTGCACAATAGCATGTTTTCTGATCAATTCTTGGAAAAGTTTCCAGTTGAACAATTTGAAGTCTTAGGAATTCATATATTTTAACCATTGAATTATGGATGAATACAGATTACCAACACTACACACACGATTTTACCAGGTGCTGTAATTAAGGAGGGTCCTTAACCTTATGCTGTTTATGCACTGCTGTCTTTAAAAAGCTGTTAAGTTGGTATACTTATGAAACATAGTACTGCTGTTAAGTGGTACTCCGTATTTGGTACGTTCCCGTTGCAGTATTGGAAAATTAACTACAGGGATTGCATCAAACATAGAATATCAGTTATCCATAATTGATCCCTGATTGCAGTGATTTGATGTTTGACTTGTTTTAAACTTGTTCCAAAGAGTTATTAGTGTAGTAAGCTGTATTGTTGATTGTTTTTCATGCACAAAGTAGAGTCCGTAAATGACTTGAACTTCTATATGAATCGTGCAAGGATGAAGTAAGAACACTGGATGGTTTCTCAAGGAGAACTGACCCCATAGTCACTAATGATTTTTTCATCTACGTGATCTCTTGTTATTTTATGCTCATCGAGAATGATGTTTCTTTGCTTTAATTCTCTTAAGACCCTTGGGGCATAGTCGCATAGACACACAATATCCTGTCATTCTGTAATAAAAGTGAACTGTTAACATTTTTTTCTTCTAACAGGGTAGGCTGGAACCTGTAGAAGCACATGTTAACAAGAATAAGCTAGGGTTGGGAGCAGAGAAAGGACAGAAAGCAAGTGCGCCAGAAATTAACAAAAAGTACAGGAAAGAAGATAAAGTAAGTTACTTTTGATGAGCTTGTAGAAAATTATGCTATAATCTTTAATTCAATTTTCAACTAATAATTACAGCGGCATTTGTTTATACTACCTCCGTCCCGAAAAGGTTTGACAGATTGACTTTTCTTTGGTCAATGATGACAAATTTTGGACAATGATTTTAATTATTATATTTGTATGTAATTTATAAATTTTATACCTTTATGAAAATATTGTGAACAAGGAACAATTTGATATAATTTTCATATTCAAAATAATTTCGTATTAAAAAATATCATTGGTCAAAGTTGATTGTCATTGACCAAGAAAAGTCAAATTGGCAAACCTTTTCGGGATGGAGGGAGTATTATTCATGTGAGCTTGATTAGTGTACAAGAATGTTCAAGTGGATATGATGATATGAACTTCTATAGACTCTTTATTTCCCAATTGTCAGCACGGCCTAGATACTCCCTCCATCCCAAAATCCAAATTGCTTTTGGCATGGATTTAATGAGAAATGATAAAAAGGGGTTTGTGACCTAACACCTTTATTGGCTTTATAAGAGGTTCCGTAAATAGTCCAACTTGTCAAATCATAAAAGATTAAACTGATATAGGGTTTTGATAGGGATAGAAGAAGCCTATTATTACTCCACTATTATTCTTACGACGACTATTACTCATCATCATTATTATTATTATTATTATTATTATTAGTTTCCTTAAGTATTAGTGTTAGTTTCCTAATGTTATCAATGATTGATTATTATTCATCATTATTATTAGTTTCCTTAAGTATTAGTATTAGTTTCCTAATGTTATTACTTATTAATAGTTGTAGTTTCCTAATGTTATTAAGAGTTGTAGTTTCCTACTAGTATAGATATTCTGTTTTAGTTAATATTCCTAATAGAAGTATTGTAATAGAATTAGGGTTACTCTAATACTAGACCACAAGACTCTTGGACTAGTATAAATAGAGGTGTTATATTCATTAATAAGATCATCAATCTTTTGGATATATAATTATTCTTGTGCGCTTGGTGGAACCGACAAACACTTCTTTGCCGAGGACGGGATGCTGTGTTATTTTTCCAGTTACCGTACTTTTCGATCTTCTTCAATGCATCTCCCAACCATAACAATTTTCCAGTTGCCATCCTGTTCTGTTTTTTGTATTGTTTTATTTTCTGCCCGAAACCTAGATGCTGAAAGTCTGAAACTAGAGAAACTATATCTGTCAGATCCTGAATTCTACGGTTACCCTATTATTTATCTTTATGCCAGCAGAATCTAAGGAAAAAAGCAGAAATCTGACTGGTGTTTTATTTTCACGCTTTGGTTCACTGCTGCAAGCTTTCCTAAGCAACATCTTTTGCGTCCTCTGTTCCTGGCTACCTTAACTCAGAAGCAAGCAACTGGTCGGCTACAACTTCATATGTGCAAGGTTCCAAGTACGTCTGTATTCTGCATAATAGTTAATATTTTGTTTTGTTTTCCTCCGGTAGGGATGTGATTTTCCAGTAGAATTTACTTCTGTATTCTTTTGTTTTTTAGAAGTCTGAGGTTCCAAAAAAAAAGGATAAAAAACAAGGGAAAAAATAATAATCAGGAAAAAGAGCTCTCGAACTTTGCGTGTCCATCATATGATGGAATAAAGCAAAATGACTCGCTAAATTGTCTGCGCTTCTTTGTTATGAAGCAGCGGTCATTCCATGCAATTTTCGACGCGATTTTCACTGTGGGTCATTCAGAAACAATCTCTCTGTGCTTTGGTACAGGGGTGAGACTGCGTACATCCAACCTTCCTTACCCCACCGTAGGTGGGAAGCCTTTGCGCCACTGGGGTAATGATGATGATGATGAGCGTGGCAGAGATGCGTATGTTGCGTTAGATGTGTGGACATACCAGAAAAGACCGCTTGAGGAATGATGTAATCAGACAAAAGGTGAGAGTAGCATGTATAGAAGATAAGATGCAGGAGTCTCCTTTGCGGTGGTTTGGGCATGTGCGTAGAAGATTGAGTGATGCACCTGTTAGACGACTTGAGAGGTGAGGAGAAGATGCAGAGAAGAGAGGGAGGGGAAGACCCAAACAGACCTGGATTAGAGGAATCAGAACTAATATGCGTCTTCTTGGGTTGGATGAGAGTATGGCTTTGAAGAGAGCAAAGTGGAGGGCGCACATCCGTGTGGACGATTGATGTCTTTTCTACCTTTCCTCTCTTTTTTCTTTTGTCGTTTATCTTCCTTATCTGTTTATATTTTTATGTTATTTGTATCTTCTAGCTTTTTTATGCTCTTTTATTTTTTTCTTTTATCTTTCTTATATTCTTGTGTTATTGTTATCTTATATTTATTTATCTTTATTTTATTCATTTTATCTTACTTTTTTGTCTTCCCTTTCTTGTCCGCCTTCTCTTTTTGGCATTTTTGATATCATAGATCGATTCATGTTAGCCGACCCCAAATTCTTTTGGGATTAAGGCTTGGATGTTGTTGTTGTTGTTGTTGCATAACAACATCATAATTGTAAGTTGTTCTTAATTGTTATCAAAGAGATGATCTATTTAAGTAGTGCATAAATGGCTGATTTGAAACCAATATATATGGAACTAAGGATCTATAAAAAGATCGTATGAGAAAAGCCAAATCAAATGATCTTGGATAGAAGTTTGGTTATAGGCCGAATAAGGTGAATCAGTGATTTGGTGGAATGCTCAATTTGTGACAGGCAAATGCATTCCAAAATTAAACATTTGAAGCAACACATAGTTACTTATATGAAATCAACTGTGTTGGATGATGGAGATGATGAATTTGACGAGGATCCTACGACACAAGGGCTGACTCGCGCGTCTTCTATTTATCCAGTTCCCAATTTTGGAACATTGAGCAAAGGGTAACGTGCAGAGCAATCAACTATGAAGTTTGAACACTCAAAATCAAGACTAGGCAAATAAGAGTATTTGAAGAAAAGCATGCTCTGATTAAGCGTAAAAAGACTCTTGAGGTTTTTACCAAGTCCAAAGAAGATGTGAAGAAAGTTCATGAGCACATTGCAGATCTTTTCTTTATGTGAATGGCATACCTTTTAATGCTGAAAACTCATGAAACTACGAGATTATGGTTGAGTCAATCGGGCAATTTGGACCCAGTCTGAAACCTCCAAGTTATCATGAATTGAAGGTGTCTCTTCTCGAGGAAGTTGTGAAAGAGAGAAAAGTTGAAGGAGATGCACAAAGTTGCTTGAAAGCGAAATTGATGCACACCGATGTCGGACGGACTGACAGATAAAATTAGTCAATACTTGATCAATTTTCTCTTAATATTCTAGAAGGGACTTCCTTCTTGGAGTTAGTTGATGTTTTACGCTGAGTCACATGATGCAAAAGTGATGGCAAACTTGCTTGAGTAACAAATTAAAAAAATTGACAAAAAGAATGACATTCAAGTCGTCACAGGATAATGGGGTGAACTATAAAGCGGCGGTCAAACTACTAGAGCAGGGTATACCGACTTTTTTTTTGACTCTTTGTCAGCCCAATGCATAGACCTTATAATGGAATATATTGGGAAACTCGCCCAGTTTAAGCTTTGGATTGATAGTGTCATATGTTGCACGACTTTTATTTATAGGCATTTGAGGATACTCAGTGCAATAGGGAGAGAACATGTTCAAGAAATCTAGTGAGGGTTGGTGCTACTCATTTTGCCCCATCATTTATCACTTTGCAAAGTTTATGCAAATTTAAAGAAGCTTTGATGCTTCTACTTGTGAGTGGTGATTGACATAACCTGATCCCATCAAATTTGATGTTGGAGTGCGTATAAACCCTGAGTGAACCTGAAGCACCACCAACATCACCTCTCATAGGATTACGACGGTCTAGATTTCTTGAATCACCAAGAGCTTCGTCAACTTGATCCCATAAAAGATCATGTCCATGGTGATCTACATCACTATGAGAATCATCAACCATTCCTTATCCCAAGAAAACTCTTCTAAAACTGTAGGGTTGAAATTCACACTGCTTTTTGAACCTGTTGACAATCTTTCTATTGTACTGAATGAACACCGAACCATTCAATCTCTTATGCTCCAACCTATTTCTTTTCTTGGCGTGGATCTAAAAAAGTAAATAAAACTTATTATACTTTGAAGTAAGTATTTAAAAACCTATATAATTCAAAGGGATTGAGTAACTTACAAATTCAAATGTACTCCAATTGCGTTTGCAACCAGAAGAACAACAACAAAGGCCTATTATGCGTAAAACAAGTGATTGTATCTCCAAATCATGGCCACCAAAAGCATTCCATCAATCAACTAATAATAGGATTAATAGTTTTTAGCATTCAGATTTTAAAAGTCATAAAATTTTAAAATAAATACTATTACTTTTCTAACAAGGTATGACTTACGACTTACGAGCATTCTTTGTTTTTTGATGTTTGATTGGTAATGGCTCTGTAAATCCTTCTTGCAATTATAATCATCCACTTATTTGCTATTCTTGTTTATTTTGTAAAGCATATCATTAAACATCTTTCGTTGCTCACGAGCATATTTAGTATTATTCCTTCTAAAGTCAAAATATTTAGAAGGGTTTAGAAATAAAGTAGCCCCGTACAACTTTACTTCCATTTGATCTGCCCATCAATCCTCAATAATCTCCATCAACACTCTTGACTTACTTGCGAACGATTCATTTATTTTCTTCTTAGCTTCTCTCATAGTCATGAAAAGCTCAGTCATAGCTGGGTGCTCATCGCCTTTGACTATCCTCATAACAACAAGAAGGGGATGGGATGCTCTGAAACAATCCCCCACCCTATTCCGAAACTTAGAATCAAGAATAGTTCACATACCCTTTGCCCCACTGTAGTATTTGACAACTTCGAATTATTTCAATCATTAGTCACAAACTGAACCCTCAAAGGTTCTCTATATTTACATAAACTTTCCAAACCGTGTAACGCCAGCCCTCACTAGATCTCTTCCACCTGTTCTCTCCCTCGTTGCACTGTGTATCCTTGTATGCCTATAAATGGAAGTGATGTAACATCTTGCACTATCAATCCAGGGCTTAAACTGAAAGAGTTTCTCAATTTTCTCCATCATAAGGTCTAGGCAGTGAGCCGCACATGCAGTCTTGAAAAGTGCCGGTATACACTGCTCTAGTAGCTTCCCCGTCGCTTTGTAGTTCGCTTCATAATCTGTCACGACTTGAATAACATTCTCTTTGTCACTTTTTTAGATCTGTTTCTTAAACAATGTTGCCAACATTTTTGCATCTTGTGACTCGTGTGAAACATCAATTGACTCCAAGAAGGAAGTCCATTTTGGACTATTAACGAGAAAATTGATCAAGTGTTGACTCCTTTTATTCGACCATGTGTCCGACATGAGTGTACATTTGTATTGCTTCTAAGCAATTTCATGTTTCTCCTTCAAGTTTTCTTGTATCGTTCATAGCTTCCTCGAGAAGAGGCACCCTTAAGAGGTTTCAGTCTGGGTCCAAACTGCCCAATTGACTTCTCACAACTTTGAAAGGTATGCCATTCTTATAGAAAAATCTGCGATGTGTTCATGAACTATCTTCACATCTTCTTTGGACTTAGTACAAGCCTCAAGAGTCCGTTGACTATCCAGAGAATGTCTTTCTTCAATCACTTCTTCAGGCAAATTTCTAATCATTCAAGCAACATAATTGGTTGGTTTACTTGGTTTTGGTAGTGAATGCTGAAACTTTGGAGTAGAGTGCTCTACACGCTTCCTTTTGCTTGTTGTTCCAAAATTAGGAGCTGGATAAATAGAAGAAACACGAGAATACGAGATGATCCTTGTGAGGTAGGATCCTCATCCAATTCATCATCTTCATCATTAAATTCAACACTCACTTGCACTTTATCCTTCCTTTTGTTCTTCGTACAATTCCTTATCAAAGTTCTTATTTCTGGAGTTGTCTTTGTGCATTTTCAACATCACTGTAACCGCCAACTATGTGTTGCTTGAACTGTTTAACTCCGAAATGCATCCGTCTGCCACAAAGTGAGCATTCCACCAAATCCCGGTTGTTCTTGTCCGGCAAAAAACCAAACTTCCATCGGGGATCATCCGATTTGGGTTTTCTGATAGGATCTTTCGATGGATCTGTAGTTTTATTGGCATTCATTTCCGAATCAGCCATGTTAAGCACTGTTTAAAAAGTTATGAATTACTCCTCCCGTTCTTTTTTAGTTGCAACATTCCCTTTTTCACATTTACCAACACATAACTTTGACCCTTATTATATTTAATTCCCTATTTGTAAAAAATTTAAAAATCAGATTATAAAACTTTATAATAAGAAGAATTTAACAATATTTTTCAAAAATAATAATTCACATACATTAATAAATAAAATGTAGTCAAATTATAGTACATGAATAGTGTATAAGTTCCAATGTTGCAACCAATACGATACGAAGGATAGTATAAAACAAAAAAACTGAAATTTCACTAACATTTAATTACTTATAATTAAATGTAAGAGAACACAGTTCCACAACATAAATTTCAGCATAAATTCAAGACACCAATAAAATTATGAAATACAAAATATAAAATATAAAAAACAACTGAAATTTCACCATTATTTGGGGAAAACTGAAATTTGTTTTCAGAAAATTGAAACAATTGAAACATTTCAAAAAGTTTGACTTTTTGTACAACATTACACAGTTCAACACAACATTAAGTACATAGAATAGAAAGCAATCAATACACCCTACTAGAGTAATGAGAAAAGGAATACAAAAACCAGACCTACACAGTAAAGTAACACTCTAGACAGTAAAGGAAAACTTTGGAGCAAATAAAACTGCTGCGATGCCTATTAAAAAATACTGGAGCGAGTGGGCGACGAAAATACCTGGCGGAAGCTGGAGCCTAGATGCGGACGATTGACAACAGATGGCGAGGCTGATGAGTCACGACTCACAAGTATGCGTTTGGGATGGCGGCGAGTGAAGTTGCCCAATTTAGCAAACAGGTCAACTTGTTTTTTCTTTTTTATAATTTTGATGGGTCGTCAAATAATTGGGTTTGGGTTACGCCTTGGGTCATCATACCTCAATGCCGCGTCGACGCCTAATGAATCATGGCGTGTAAACCTTCCATGGCGGCCTTCACTTAGTGCCCCAATGATATGGCGACGCCACGACGATGCCGTAAGAACTTTATTTATGCTTAAAGCAGGTGATTGTAGCTCCAAAGCATGGTCATCAAAACCATTCCACCAATGAACGAAAAATATTATGAAGAGTTTTTAGAATCTAAGTCATAAAATTTTATAAGGAAAAAGTACTGCTTCCGTCCCATTTTGATTGTCCTACTTTCCTTTTTGGGTTATCCCAAGATGAATGTCATGGTTCATTTTTTGGCAAAAAATATGTGGTCTTTGTCATTTTACTTTATTTTACTCAAATTTCAAACACAACTTTTACTTTTCAATCACTTTATTAATAATCGTGTCAAACTAAAACATGACAATCAATACGTGACGGAGGTAGTGTTATTTTTCAAAAATAGTATGACTTACGAGCTTAGCGCTTTCCACCACCACCACCACCCAACTTGGGGCCTTTTGGCATAGCACTTCCCTTGGAAAGATTACCCTTCCCAGACTTTTGTGACTTTGCTACCACCTCAACCTTCTTAGCTCTCTTCTCATCTTTAGTCTTCTTGATCCTTTCCTTGATTCTTGGAGTGCAGCTTCCCGAGTAGCATCTCAGACTTCTGGTTTCTCACTTCTCTTCTTCTGGATGACCTCTAGTGTAGCACCTCTAGTGTAGCACCCAAAAAAAAGTATGACTTACGAGCTTTGTTTTTTATGTTTGATTGGTAATGACTTTGCTCTCTCCAAAGCTATAATTTCATCCAACCCAAGAAGAAGTGTATCCATCCCGATTCCTCTAATCCAAGCATGTTTAGGTCTTCCTCTTCCTCTCTTCCCTACCTCTCCTTCCCACATCTCAAGTCATCTAACAAGTGCATCACTCGATCATCTTATCTTCTATAGGTGCTACTCCAACTTTTTGTCTGATTATCTCATTTTTCAAACGGTCTTTTCTGGTATGTCCACACATCCAACGCAACATACACATCTCTGCCACACTCATCATCATCATCATTACCCCAGTGGCGCAAAGGCTTCCCACCTACGGTGGGGTAAGGAAGTTTTAAGAAAATAGAAATAATAGAATGTTTTGAGGAAATAGACAGCACAAAATTAAATAGAAAGCAAATTTATTTTCAGAAAATAAATCAAGATTTATTATTTTGAACCTATTTGCAACTGGAGCAACGAAAATAAATGCCTATGCCCGTAATCTAAAGCAGCAGCTGCGGTATGAGAAATACAGAATCAAATGATGCCGTCTGAGGAAATCTGAAAAATAAAATAGATGGGAATTGAGGAAATACCTGGAAGAAGACGTTGGATGCCAACGACAGATGGGGCGACGATGATGATGAGCGGGAGGTGATGGGCGACGAGCGAGATGATGGGCGACCAGTTCGGACTTTGGAGTTGCCCGTTTTGCTTCAAATTGGTCAACTGTTTTTTTTTAATTTGATGGCTTATCAGATAATTGGGGTTTGGGCCTGTTCTTACTGGATTGGGTCACAACTTGCAGCGTCTATGGCGTCATTCTGATGCTGTGGCGACGATGCGGCAACGCCTGAATACATAAGACGTGTTGAGCCTCCATGATGAGCTTTACTGAGTGCCGCAGCGCCTGAAGACATAAGGCGTGTCTAGCCTCCATGATGAGCTTTACTGAGTGCCGCGGCGCCAAGGCGATGACATGGGATGAGATGTCATGGTAATTGGCGACACCGTAATAACTATGATGAGGAGGTAAAGTAATGGTAGTGATCTATGACTGAAATATTTTGACTCATTTTTATAAAAAAATGATAGTATCTTTCATTACTTGTAATTTTGAAATGTAAAAGAAGTTAGGTATGTAGTATAAAATTTGGGAATCATGTAAACCGTTTTATACATCACGCTGTGACCTTTTTATTTTTGTAATTATTTTTCTGAGTCGATCTGCATGTTTATTAGTTGATGCTTGTAAATTTAACTCCTAATTTGGTACTAAAAGTTTGTTTGCCCTTTCAGTTGCCGGTGAAAAAGAAAACAAAATCGGTCACTAAAAAGATGAAAAAAATGCTGGAGTTGGAGAAGCGCTTGCAAGAGCAGGAACTGGTGAAACAATTCTACCGGGAATTTTGGCCTGACAATGTTTGAAGCATATATTTTACATCCTTCACAGCTGACGTGCGTTAAACCCTCTCCGCGTTGTGGCAATTTCTATCCTGATCTCTACCTTACACTATATGTGATGTAGATCTTTCTGTTTTTAAAAAGGTAATTTTCTTTTTACAGAACTAGTAAAAATAGTGTATATAAAAACACCCAGAACTCTTTGTCACTGTTTAGACAGAGCATTTGAAATGGTTAGCTTAGTGTACGGGGTAGGGGTGCAAACGAGCCGAAGTTTATGTAGGCTCAAGCTCGAAATATATTGTATTGGCTCGAGCTCGGCTTGACTGAGCTTAAAAAATCCGGGCTCGAGCTTGACTCGCAAATATTGACATGGCTCGATTCGGCTCGACTCAGTTCGATAATTTTGGTTCGTCAACTCAAATGTTACAAGTTTGATTATCTCGAAAGTTCGGGTTCTAACTTGAGCTCAAGTATGAAACAATATTGAATATTTGTGCTTAGTATTTGCAAATTGAAATTTACATGCCCAACAACTAAAAGTAGAGTAAATGTTGTCCAAAATAAATAAAAAATGATCAAACCATGATGATTTAACTGAAACTAGAGTTATGGGAACGGAAAATATAACATCTCCACGATCCTCATATACATTTACCAATCGGTATTATATATATATATATATTAATTAATATTATATATACTAATATATATTATATATATATTAGGTAAGGATCAAATGAGAATACATCTTAGGAGAAATGAGAATGATTCTGGAACGTTAGATTTGAGCATTGTGCATCATGTAAAACAGAAACGTGCATATAAAAAATTGGAAAATCTGCATTTCTTTTGTGCAAAATTTTAAACGTAAATGTGCACATTAGAATTTTGCATTACTTTAATTATAAATGTGCAGTTTTGTGAATGATAAAGTGCATCATTTTGGAGTGTTCTCATTTCTCATGTTAATGAGTGTTCTCACTGGAACCGCACCTTATATATATTAAATATATCAATATACACACATATAAAACTAGACTTGCGAGCTAGCGAGCGTAAAATTAGTAGGCTCATTTATGGCTCGACTGCTTAACGAGCTGGCTCAAGCTCGACTCGAGCTTGAGTTTGTCCGAACTCGATTCGAGCTTTGATCGAGCAGCTCATGAACGGTTCACAAGCGGCTCGGCTCATTTGCACCCCTATGTAATATGTATGGGTGGAACCTTGGTCCCGGACCGTTCGGGACCGGAACCGTCCGGTTCACGGGATCGGACTGGGACTTTTTATTTTTAATTTGGGCTTAGGATCGGCTCCAGATCTCCGCCATGCTGGTCCGATTCCGATGCATTTTTTTCTTATGCATTTCATGGCTTAGAAACATTTGAAGACGCTCTTATTACATGTGTAGTCTTTAAAAAAATTGAGCTGCCCTTGGAAGTAACTTTCATATTATTTAAAAATAATTATCAAAAGAGAATATTATATTATCAATTTAGGACACCCTAAAAAGTAAATATATGATCGATTTAGGATTACCTTTTTAATGTATCTAGGCTTGGACTCGAGTTAGGCCTGGTGGGTCGTGGTACTGAAAAAGTGAAGCCTGGTATTGACCCGGTTTGGTCTGGTACCAGTCCGGGCCCAAACAGTACTGGTCTCGGGTAGGGTCGGTCCGGTCCCGCTCTTTAATTTAATAAATATTGAAAAAGCAGCCGATAGGCCTGGGCAGGCTGGTCCCAAAAAATCAAACCCGAAGCCTGACCCGTTCTACCCACGGCTCGGGTACCGAGCCGGTACCGGGCCCGGAAAAACCAGGCCAGTCCGGTCCTGTGTTGGTCCTGGGTCAGGCCAGCTGGGTCGAGTCCATCCCTAAATGTATCTTCCCTTTTAGGTTTTAACGTAGGCCGGTATACTAAGAATTGGCAAGAAGCTTAAAAAACTAAATTAATGCTACTCTTTTATCCATCCGTTTATTATACAAAAATGTATACCGTATACATGGCATACAGATCATTTGGACATCAATTTTGCAATTTCATAAGGGTGAAGGATTTCAAGAATTTGTAGGGTGACTGACCAGAGGGAACACTCCAGACACGTTGATGGAGTATATGGCCCAGGGACCTCCGGCCCACATACTTCCACCATTTCAATCAGGCCCAACAGGCCTAAGCGGGTCAAGCCCAACAGGATGGAGCTCCAAGCAGCCCACGATGCTTGAAGGGGTGCCTTCGGCCCAATGGCCGAAGGCTACCAGTGACAGAATTAGGGTTCGACAACATCACGGGAGAACAAGGCTTGAAAACCAAGCCTTCGGCAATCGGAGCCCTCGGCACTGTGAGACCCTCGGTACGCAGAGCCTTCGGACTGTCAGATACAGCGGAAGGCATCCTCCTCGACAGAATCTCTCGTCCACATGCGCTGGATCACCGTACCAAGTACAAACATCGCATCCAACCACCGCATTTAATGCGACCACATGCGAGTGCCAACGCCACCACGGTTGAGGTGACACCTTGACCACCAGAATGCTGACACGTGCCCCCATCTAGCATTTATTGCTACTATGAATAGCACTCATTTTCCCCATTGTAAATCACGCTCAATACAACTCAAACACACATTTGAACTCTTTATCTCTCTTACTTAATCGCTCTGACTTCTCTCTAAATTACTCCTCGCGGTAACCCCTTGGATAAGCTACCCCCGGGTACACTATCCATCATTTGGTGCTCTCGTTGAGAGGTCGAACAATCAAGTAAGAAACTCTCCCCTTCAGCTCAAAATACCTACCAAAATGGGAAGAACCACTCGTGCTCAGTCCAAGAACCTTGAGGACAACAACATGGCCCTCGGTGAAGTCAACGCCCCTGGAGCCTCCAATAAGGCTCCCGAGGGCGGGGTCATCACTGAGTTGGAACAGGCCGCTGTTGACCTACGCCTTCAGCTTCAGCAAAACGCTCCCGATGCCCGTCTTGGCATCGAAACCCGAAGGAGGGACCAGAGTGAAAATCCAGTGAGCCCTCCGGTTCTCACTATCGATGTACAGTCAACATTCTCCGCCTTCATCCAAACACTCACGCAAAACCCAGGTGCCTTCGGCACTCTAATACCACTTCAACCCCAGATCGGAGAAAACACCGTACCTCCACCGCCCCACCCCCCTTCGTAAAACCTATCCTTCGGATTGGGAACGACGAAGGAGTCGTGGCCCAGGACACCGCCTCCCAGGAGGTTCAATCCCGGGACCGCCACGACGCAAACAAGGATAGGCATCGAACCTCCGCCCTGGAACGGCTCGGAGGGGCGCAAGACCGCCGAGGGGTCCAAGACCGCCTCGGAGGAAAGGCGCTCCAAAGACCTCAGGAAAGCGGAGGTTCCGTCTCAAGGGCAGACGAGAGGCGTCCCCCTCAAGACAAAGGCAATGCACCACTCCATGTCGATGACGCAAGACACCAAATCAACCATGCCCACTTGGCCCGTGTTCGTTCGCAGGGGGCGGAGGCCCTCCCGAAGAATCACAGGGACGAAATCATTGAAGCCCTCCAACGCCGCCTTGACGAGATGGAGGCCCATCAAGCGCACACGACAGCTTCCGCCTCCCAGGCGGACCCCAAATACACCGCCATGCTGGCCAAAATGGAGGAGATGCAGAAGAAAATGGCCGAGGGCTCCGGGGAACCCGTCATTCAACTCCGGACTAGGACGCCATTTACCCCAAGGGTATTGGCGGCCCAAATTCCGAAAAAATACCGGGGCAGCCCATCAGGCCCTATGAAGGGAAGACAGATCCACAGGAGCAGTACAACAGATATCAGAACAGTATGATGATGGTGGGGGCATCGGACGAATATTTGTGCCGTTGGTTCCTCTCCACCTTAGAGGGACCAGCGTACGAATGGTTCAATCGATTGCCCGAAGGCTGCATCGATTCGTGGCAGGAACTCGCCCAACGTTTCTTGACGCAGTTTGCAGGGAGGCACCGGTCGAGAAAACACTTCTCCCACTTGTTGACGGTGAGACAAAGAAAGGAGGAGACCCTTCGGGACTTCTTGGAATGCTGGAGGACGGAGGCAGATAAAGTTGACGGCGCTGACGATGGGACCCTCCTGGCCCTCCTTCAAACAGTCCTCCGCCCCGGGAACTTTTCAAGAAGCCTCATCATCGAACCTCCCCGCGATTACATAAGGGCCCTACAGCGGGGGGACCGATACGCTGAGGCTGAGGAAGTGGAAAAATGCGATCACAACCCCGATTAGCAACGCCCTCGGCCGGATGACAAAGGCAACAGGGGGTCGGGGCGTCCCCAAATCAATCCAAAGGCTAGGCACCTCCCGGTGACCGCACCCAGCATGGCCAAGCCAAGCCCGGGGGAGGTTACAAGGGAAACCCGAAGGCTTGGGCCCAACCCATTCTCTTGGAGCACCCTCGGACGCCCTTAACACACCCCGTCAGCATCATCCTCAACTTCGCCGAGGAAAGGGGACTCGTCGAGCGAGACTCTCGCGCACCCCCGGAGGTTTATGCCATCAACCCCAATTATCCTTACTGTCGGTTCCATCGCAACCAAGGGCACAAGACCGATGACTGCCATCAGCTGAAGGCGGCCATTGAAAAGTTAATACAAGTGGGCCATCTGTCCCAATTTATCCGAAGCCCTCAGCACCAAGGGCCCCCACGAGGTCCACCGACGAGGGCCAATGCCTGAGTCAACCCGAACACCATTCCCCTCGATGACCCGAAGGGTAAGAAAAGGGAAATCGGGAATCTCGATGAAGAGGAGGAGTACAACCAGTACCAGGATAAAAAGCGCCACATCCACATGATCACCGGGGGCAACACGGGGGGGGGGGGGGGGACTCCACCAGCCAAAGGAAGAAGTGGGCTCAATCGCTTTACGTGGGGGAAGTCACTCATATGCCCCCGTGAAGCGGCTGAGGGAGGAACCCATTACATTCACCAACGCTGATCTCCCCCCCGGTTTCCTCGCCTCATAGGGATGCCCTGGTAATCCAAAGTGAGATCAATGACACCATCTGTTGGTCCCGGTTATACTGGATACAGTCTAGAGGGGGGGGGGGGGTGAATAGACTGTATTGGTTTTTAGCTTTTTAAACTAAGTACCAGATTTACAGAATAACCTGTTCTGTTGAAGGAACAGACTGGCAGCGGATGGGGTTCTGGTAGGGAGTTCTGTTAGCCTCAAAGGAGCAAAGGCAGTAGGCCTTCTGTTAACTCGTAGAACAAGTTCTGCTGAACACAGATACCAAGTCCAAGGAGTTATACAGTTCTAACTAAGTGCAAGTAATAAAAGCAGTAAGTAAACGACACCAGGGATTTTTATAGTGGTTCAAGGAACAACTCGTTCCTCTAATCCACTGTTCCACTAAGCTGTAAAAACTGCCGTTTACAAAGTCTTAGTCCTAGCACTTAAGAAGCACTCCACGTCTTCTTCAAGCCTAGATGTGTCCTGGGA